AGGCTTGGAGTCAAAATAGAAACGGTTGACCAAGCGGGAAATGGTTGCCCTTAATCCCCTTTCAAACCATTGCCCGGTTCAACTGCAAGTGGGTAATGGTTGCAAGGCACCGTTTCCCGAAAGAGAATTGGCTATGCGGCAACCCCTTTGATGCATACTACCATCTCCCCCACCTTGGTATAAAAGCCCTGACTCCCAGCTTACCATGAATGGGTATTGTGCATCGTCTTTGTTGTGTAAATTGAGCCAGTTCCTCCACAGGCTTAGCACAGCTTATTCAGACGGCCGAAGCAACTAATCCCTTTCAACAAAAAACTAACTCCATCGGAGTCTGCGGGCTTACGTGCATCAGTTCTCATGCCATTGAATTAAAATCTGTTGGTTTCTTTCCCCACATCTAGCACTGTCACGCAGTGATTTCCACATTATAGGTTGGTTCAAGATTGCAATAGACAAGAGACAAAATGGAGAAGAAATCTGTCTTACATCACCGAAGGTATTTTTATCAGCCAACGGCATCAACTGTTTCTTATCTTTATTTACACATACACTTTTAATTTTTACCATCGGCACAATCATCTTCTTGATCGAATTGCTCAATTTGCATGACATTGTTTTTTGCTTTTTACCCGTTTTCCCGATTTGTGTTTTACTTAAAATCCATTTCTTGTTTGAAGATTGGTTTTCAGTTACCCGTTGACTTGGACTTGAAACATTTTCATTGAAACGTTAACAACACTAGTTTTCCATTGTAAAACTCGGAATAACGTTTATTTTCCACTCCTTTCCATTACAACTGGTGAATTAATTTTCAACCAAATGCTTCTAAATGTACGGAGGTTTTTCACAATAAAACTAAGGATAAAGGCAATGCTGTTAAAACTTGAATAAACCCTTCATCTTACTTGATTAAATTCTTCTACGGAAGCTATGAATAAAGTCAGAGTAATGAAATAAAGATACCTAAAAGGTACGACTGTCTAATGTGGGAATTATATTCTGGGACCTTTTAATAAGCCACAAGGATAAAGAGACTTGAATTACAATCTAGTTTTGCACCATCCTATTCAGTAGTTTGGAATGAATTCAAATAAAGTGAATAAAATTTAGATTAACGATTACATGTACATGTATACATCTTGTCCTGGAGTTTGAACAATGCTATTTTACTACAAAACAAACACTATTAAAGCCAACCGGAATTCACGTTTGAACACGAAAGCACGAGTTATCTTTTTAAGTAATATGGACTAATGTTTAGAGTAAATGGTTTACAAGTACACTTGGCAAACTATGTTTTTCGAATAATCACTTCGTATCTAGCCCTCTTGCAACATTCATTGAGTGCCTCAACCGTTTTACATCGACTGTCTGTGTACCAGTCAGTGAATCCTGGAAACTGCATCTTTGCTTGACTGAAAATACTATGTACGATGCTACGGTTTATTTGAGGGATCTTACATCTTTTATTATTTTCGTCTCTGGAATTTCCAGTCACATTTTGGGCAGCCAGTTCTTTCTTTGGGATCTCTCGTTTTAGTAGGTTGATGCACATGAGTCTTCCTCTGTCATTGTCCGTGCATCGTTTTCGTTGCTGCACCTCTTTCAGGATGACCTTGTAGTCGTCAACCGCGCGAACCATACCCTCATTCCCGCCAAGTAGGTAGGTGTCATTTTCCGGACCGGTCACAGTGCGAGGCATCAACGTTGCTGGCGATGAGACGGATTTCTCCGACTCATTTGGATCCCGGCCGTCATCTTGAGGTGTCTCGGTTGCAGCCATGGAACGTACGGGTACCGGTGTGGGATATGCGTCTCCAGTGGATACGGCCGGCGAGTCGAACAATACACGTGGGCGATTTTCAAACAGTGGTTGTTGGCGATCGCCCCGCGGTGTATCTTCTGTCGGGGAGTGTGGGTCGGCAGCTTTCTCTCTCCTTTCCCTGACCAGGACCAGCTTGACTAATTCGCGGAGACGGTCTTGTTTTTGCTCCATGCGCTCCTGTCTCTTTTCCACCGCTGCCAGTTTGGATTGGATGTCTCCAAGTAAATCAAGGATGAGCTCCAGGGTTTGGTCCTGATGACTCATGCCATGAAACACATCCTTGACTTTGTCTTGGTTTGCTGACTGCATTCGTTTTTGAATTCCAGCCAGAGCAACGTTGTCATCATCGGAGTCTTCGCTGTCATATCCGTTCGCCCCTGATAAAAATTAAAAAAAAAGTTTAAATTTTCAGTGCAAAAATACTGTCCATCAAACACAGTTATGACCTTGAAAACATTATATTCTTATGACTTTGAAAATCGGGGCCTTGAAAATTGGAAACTGTGCTTTTGAATTGGTGATTTCTCTATGATCTTTCCCATTTAGTCAAAATTCTTTATATTGCTTTTCGGTGCTGTCAAGTATCTTTGGTCCATTATTACCAAATGTATTTGGAATCCTAAATCTTTAGATGATTTTTATACGCACTAGGCTGATTTATGATTCTTTGTAGCGTGTCAAAAGTAGACAACTAAAAACTTCAAATTTCCACCATTTTCTCATTTTCTGATAGTAGATGTTTGGGTTTTGTGAAGTTGACCGCTCTATTCTGAGCGTAGGGAGCGCTACGGTCGTTTCCGTTTTTAACTTGTCCACTTTTGGACCACCCCGTCGGCAAAGTAAAATCCGAATTTCTGCTATGAAAATTATGAAAATGGGTGATGCAACTTAAAAAAAACCGAACATCTACTAGCAGAAAATGAGAAAATGAGGCGGTCCACTTTTGACGCCCCATAGTCGACAGTGTACGGATTCTAGTTGTCACTCTTCTCCAAAGGGTTTTAGGTATATACACCAAAATCATTTGGAAAACAATTTCAAGAATAAACTACTTATGTGTACTTACGTTTCTTTTGGCAGCTGCTTTCCATTTTCCACTGATCAGTGTCACGCTCCTGAAAATTACAGTTTGTGTAAAGTTCAGGGACTTCATGTATGGAGGGCTTGATTGCATGAATGTGCATGCATCCCGAAACGTATGTGCACAAGTGCGATTATTGGATTACTGTTCAAGCATCGGTGAGCTTGCTGAAAGGGTGAATGATGTGAAGCGTGGCCACTGGACAAACGATGCCAACTTCTTGTTTTTTAATCACACAGTGTTTGACCCACATGAAAATGATTTAGTTTGTAAAACCAGCCAAAAAGATGGAGTACAGTTTGAGTCCAATGCGATGTGATCATACATTTAGCCCTGTCCATGGAGAAATCAGCATCTCTCCGATTAGACCGGAACTGCTCAGTCCTGATCAAGCTGCAAAGTGTCCAGCATCAAGGAAGCGACTGTTTGACGAAGTTCCATTTGAAGCACGCGGTGCCTTACCAAATAAGCGTGGCAGAAAAGCGTACTACCAGAAATACGACAAACTGGTGCCGACTGTGGAGGCTGCGCTTCTTGACCATGGATTTGCTGCACACAGAAGAAGGTCTGAAACCTGGTCATCAGTCGGAGTGTCTGCCGAGAGGTTACGAGAAAAAGTTGCAAGGGAAATCCCTGGGCTTCCGGCATCAGTATCTACGAGCACTGTCAAACGGCTTTTCGTTGCTCCTAATAAAAAGCACAGAGCATCCAAGTATTACCACGGCATTATTGATGCCAAAATTGGCATCAAGAAAAACGACATCGGAAAAAGTCACCCTGCATCTCATTTCTGCCGCACCTCTGTAAATTACGCATTGGAGATGGCTGCTTGCTTTAAAGACGAAGTTACGGCTTGGTCAGTGGATGACAAAAACAAATTGCTTGTAGGAGGAGGACCCTGTGTTGACCGGAGGATGTCTTTCAAAACCTACTTCATGAAAGACGATATGATACATTATCCTGACCACAATTTCGCCACAGGGTATAAAATCATTCCCAGCGGTTATATGGAGTTGCGGAAGCAGTCAACAAGTAAACTG